GTAGAAATCTTTCTGTCATCACATACTTCATTTTGGAATAAAACCATGTCTTCTGTAAATCCTATGCTCCCTCTCTCCTCTCACTCTCTATTTGGAACCCAATGTCTTCTACAAACCTTTTACCCAAACCCTATGCTCTCTCTCTCTAACCTCGATCATTTATCTGTCCTTAAAGTTTAAAGATATTTTTTCCTTATAGACAAATAGGCCCTGTGCCATATGTGTCCATGAGCTTCTCCCAATCTAGGATACAAGCACATTGCGAAGACAGGCAGGGTACTTATTTTCCTGTCTACATTGAAAGCTGGCCTTTGCTTCAAAGTAGAGCCCAGCTCAAAAATTTCACCAGCAGAGGTTGTTTTGATACCCAAATATCTTCAAATTGATCATCTCGACATCAAGATACATAGACATGAGGAAAAAAAAATGGATTTCAAGTTTTGGAAATAATACATCTTGTAAAGCATTTTTGGATCGTCAATTTTCATGTTTTCCTAGATCTGCTTGTTCTACAGTATTTTTTAAGCTTTAAATTTTATAATTAAAGCTAATAATATATTTTAAAGTTATCTCAAAGATTTTTAGTATTGAAACCATTTTTCTCGATACTATTTGAAGATGGGCTCTAATTTGATTGTTTAGAGCCTGGGTTTTATAAAAACTGTATCATTTATTTTTTGTATAAGTAGGTCACAATCATTTTTAACCATTGGATGTGAAATATAATAAATAAAAGTATTTCACAATGTTCAAAAAATTTTATTTTAGACTTTGTACTAAATAATAAGACTCTTAACTAACCGATTTCAAATCTAATAGCCAATGATGATTGTGACATCCTTGTATCAAAAGTAAATGATCTCATTGTATATTTTTCCTTTTTATTAAGGCCAAAATGTGAACGGTAACTCAATAAGGGGCACCCAACCTATGTTTGGGCCACTCTAAGAGTGTGGAAGGGCATTCATTCTACTGAGTCTAGACAGTGGATCACTGAGGATTAGATATGGGGCTTAGTTTCCTCATAGGTTTTGTGAGGCTCTTCCCTTTATCTCTCAATTGGTCCGAATTCCACGGCGTGAGCAAAGTGTATATATTAGTCCTATATGAATATATTTATTTTCACGGCGTGAGCAAAGTGTATATATTAGTCCTATATGAATATATTTATTTTCACATTGAATACGTGTGTTTTAATGGATGAGGTGGTAAAGAGCAAGGGAACTTCTTTAGTTTCCCTATGCTATCCAATCTTCAATTGGAGTCAAAGTAAATATCATGATACTTGTTTACATAAACTTGTTTCAATCTACGGTCATTATCATCATCAAAACTTTTTCTCAACTAATTGGGATCGACTATACTCCAATCTATTGTAATTTTCATCATTTGATCCTACCTTAGTAAAAGTTAGTCTTCCCAAAAATAGTCAATCAAGGCAGTTAAGAAAGCTTCCTACAAATGAGACTTTTCCACAAATGAGACTTTTTGGGGCTTACTGGAATCACAGTTGAAAAATGAGATTCCTATGATTAATGTAAGCTACGTGAGCAGATCCTACAAATGTATCATTCACGATGACAAAATACAGACGAGAAGCATGAGCATAGGACAAACCAAAAATTATTTCTCTGAAAACTTTTAGTTGTTTCAATGTAATTACATTTGTCAGATATATTCCACCTCCACATGCATTGTGCATAACAGGAGGGTGTGCAGCAAAATAGGTTAGAGAACAAATAAAGGGATTAGAGCAATTTCCAATGTTTTAAAAATCCAAATTTTTAACCGTTGATCTCCTTCAATGGTGATCTCTCAGTGCCCTGGATAGACTGTGAAGATAAACAGCTCTTGCTATCCTCATTGCCAGTTTGTAAATGCTCCTTTTGTGGGTATGCAAGATGCTCAGACTGCTTGCACTGTATCTGGTTTTTCCTGCACACCGAAGCTTATTTTAAAAAAATCCTGCGTGTGAAAGTGAGTGAGAGAGAGAGAGAGGTTCCCCGCCATCTAAGAGAGGCAGTGTGTTTGCAAATGCGAAAGAGAGCTGTTGCAAACTTTATGGGTGTGTATGTGTGCGTAGACAGAGAGAGAGAGAGCAACCATGGTGTTAAGCAAGATGTCTAAATGAATGGATGCATGAGCATGTATACCCGTTCTAGAAGGATCAGCATGCTCACCTAAGTCCTTTAAACTCGTCTGCTGCTTCACTTAGAAGATCGACTCCTCCATCGGCATCCGCTCTGCATGATGCCTTCTCAATGATCCCCTGAAGCCTGAGTAGCAGATCAGAATCGTGCTCAACAAATTCTTCAAACCTGTCAAAAAACCCAAGAACAACCCTTGTATCTCTCACAATCTCTTCTGTCTCCTCAGTCAACCTCTCTCAATACATGACTTATTATCTAACTGGCCCTCAAACCATTCTATTTGCTTCCTCAATTTGTCGGCTGACTCTTCTCTTTCAGACTCAAGCTTCAATTTTAGTTGTCCAACCTCTTCTTCAAGTTCAGATATGGACCCCTTCGTGCTTTGACCATCCAATTCAGTCAATATCAGCAATCTGGCCAACCTATCCTCAGTGTTATGCATAACAGTTTGCAATTCCAAGCTAAACTTCTTCTCATCATGTTCGAAAGTGTTAATCCTTTGGTCCAAGTTTTCCAGCTTCAACTCTAGTTCTCCAATATCTTCATCAAGTTCAGATTTGGTTCCATTCATGGTTTGATTTTGTAGCTCTGATAGTACCAGCATCCCATTAGTCAAATATTCTGATAATTTTAGTTCTAGGATGTTGATCTTCTGGTTGAATATTTCAAGCTTTCCTCTCTGTGCATCTATGATCGAACTCAGCATTTCTCTCTCCTTCCTCATTCTAGCCATGCTTTCATCCCTCAAAGATATGGAAGTTTCCAATTCCCTCTGCAATTGCCTGATGAAAACCTGAGAACTTTCTAACTCAATTTCTAATACTTTCTCTCTTCGTGTCTTCTCACCCAAGGCAAGTCTTTCTCTCTCTAAATCCTTGGTGATTCCTTCCAACTCCTCTTTGAGACCTTTTTCACGTTTGAGAGCCTGTTCTATCAATTGAACCTGACTCCTTTGCATTTCTGATTGCAAAATCAGTAGATACATGGAGACCCGATCCTTCTCTTCCAAGCACTCCAACAGTGAGGTATGACATTCTTCCACTTCCATCTGCAATTCCTGAATCTGCATTTCTCTTGAAACAAAATTGCAATGACATTCACTCAATTTTCTCTCTAGATCCTCTCTCTGACAGTTCCATTCAGCCTCCTTGGCTTTGAGGTTCCATTCTATATCTTTGAATTGCTGCTTAAGGACTGACAACGACTCACTGAATTCAATTGAAGCAAGCCGAGCTTCCTGGAGCTCTTTTAAGGACCTCAATAGCCCATTGTTCTCTTGCTCTAAATGGGTCTTTCTAGTCTCCAAATCTCTCTGTGCTTCTAAGATCAAACCCAGACTCTCTCTCTCCTGCTTCAATTGAACTAAGCATTCATCCCTTGAAGAGAGAGCAGCCTCCATTTTGATCTGCAGCTCTCTGATCACCTCCTGAGACCTTTGTAACTCAGTCTCCAATCCCTTGTCTCCCATTGTCTTCTCATCAAAGACAACGCTTCCCCTCTCTACATCTTTGGCACTTCTATCCAACTCCTCTTTGAGAGCTTTTTCACTGTTGAGGGCCTGTACTTCCGATGGGGCCAGATTCTCATGCAATCCTGATTCCAAAACCCATAAATTCGTGGACAACCGCTCCTTCTCTTCGAAGAAACACAACATCGAGGAATAGCACACTTCCAATTCCATCTGCAATTCTTGAATCTCAGTTTCAGAGGAAATCAAACTGCAACGGCATTCATCCAATTCCCTCTCTAGATCCTGTGTCTGAGAGTTCCATTCTGCCTCCTTAGCCTTGAGAACCTTACTACAGTCCCAATGAACCTGTTCTAAAGCTTTGAGTCTCTTCTTAAGGCTTGACGAGGACCCATTTTGTCCAGCTTCAGCTATTTGAGCTTCCTGGAGCTCCTTTATGGACCCCAATAGCTCTCCGTTCTCTTGCTCCAGATGGGTCTTTCTAATCTCCATCTCTCTCAACAAGCTCTCTTTCATGGATAATGACCCTCTCAGTTCTGCAATTTCCTTGTTCCTCTCCATGTTTAAAGTCTCAATCTTTGACGTGGCTTCCTGGTATTCTTCAACCACACTCTCAAATCCAACCTTAGACTCATCCAATTGAATCTGGAGTAGCTTTCTCCGGCTTTCTTCATGGGCGAGAGCCTGATGGCACATTTGTAACTTCGACCTAAGGTCCTCAGAAACCCTATTTTGCAAGTCAAGCTTGGTTTGCAAAGAACCCATCTCATTCAGCAAACTTGTTTTCTCAGCTACCCATTCCTTCTTCTCAACCTGAAATTCTTTCTGTAGCTTACAATGAGCTTCCTCAAGATTCTCAAACTGCTCTTTCTTCCATTTCAGCTTCTCTGCTAAATCTCCATTTTTTCTCTCTAGAATATTTATTAAGTCACCCCTCTTTCTCAAATTTTCAAGAGCTTTTTGTGCAGACACTCTCTCTGAGGTCTCCTTAACTAAATCCCTCTCCATTTCCACTAACTTTTCTCTCATCTCCTTGTTCTGTCTCCTGATTTCAGAGAATTCAGTGAGGGCTTCAGTCTTCGCCTCTAAATCAGAAGTCATTTGCTTGATCTCGCTAGATAACACACCAGACCTAAGTTCAGCTTCCATGCATTTCTTCTTTGAAATTTGCAAAGCCCTTTTTAAGCTGTTAACCTCTTCAGTCAAAGCTTGGACATTCAGTTCATTCTCTCTACAGAGAGAATTAGCTTCTTCTAATGAGTTGGCGAGGTCTCTGTTCTCTCTCTCTAGGCACAGAAACTGCTGGTTCAAATTATTTCTCAATTGGTCACTTGACAAGTTCAAGCATTTCAGGGCAGATTCCTTCTCAGTTAGGCGGGATCTCAGTTCCTTGGACATTTGCCTTGCAACCTCTGTTTGTTCAGATTGCCGGTTTAGCTCTACAGACTGCTTTTCCATCTGAATCTTGGTTTCTTTGAACTTGTTGAGCTGCTCTTCAAGAGCTTTTCTTAGGTTCTCAGACATGTCTGATTTGACATGATACTCAGCTTTGAGCTTCACCATAGCAGCTTTAGTTTCATCTAACTCTTTCAATAGCTCTTCCATTTCTCAAGGAGTTTACAAAAGGTCAAATTAAATGAATGGTGCCCTCACAGGAGGCCCATATTGATTTATAGGTTGACCTGAAATTGCAGAGGAGATTTATGATATTTTGTGAATTGAAGGGTGTTTATCATGTCCCAAAGTAGAGAGAGAGAGAGAGAGAGAGAGAGAGAGAGAGACGTAAAGAAATGCATTAAAAGAATTTCTTGTTGGGATGAAACATTTTGCTTGCAGGCTAAAGCACAAAACAAGAAAGTAAACCAATGCAAGTATTTTCCTGGAACAGAAATATACAAACTTATAAGGATTTAGAAAGGAAATGCGGTGAAAAGCAAATGCCCCCCCCCCCCCCACCCCAACACCCAACAAAAAAAAAAAGGACCCACGAAACACACACAAAAAAAAAAAAGTAGTAAACTTCAAACAAATGTGGTAAATTTCTTAACTTTTTCTTGATCTTGAAAACTGAAAAGGCAAAATTAAATAACTTAAGGCACCTGAAAATGCACAACTAAATGAATTAAGGCAAGCATGTGTGTGCCAGAAGGAAACAGAGAAACTGTGTTCTTTGTTGAAATTGCATTTTACTTACTGTAAGGTCCAAATATATTCATACAATAATTTTTGCATGAAGTCAATTGGATGTTGCAGCATTGAAAATAAAATGTTCAAGTAACTTCATAGAAGAACTGTGTAAGCAAGAAACCGAGGGCTACAAAGCGAGATTTCAATTAGGGTACAATCACTGATGTATTTTACTACTTTTACGTGCAGTGTGACATGGTCAGAAGGTCCTTTGTAATTCATCCCCACTTAAATGAAAGTAACTAAATGAACATAACAAAACTTTTCCAAACTGCTCAGGAGATTCCTAAGAAAACCTCAACACCCTAACCACTTGAACCTTCTAATCATCGAGCGATTGACCTCGCTTATCTGGAATTGGTGGTAAACCAGTCAAGCCTATTTCACAAGTGCGTTGAACGTTGATCAAAATTGATTGATCAGAGATATTCAAAAATCTTACAGGGATAGTCTTCTATGACACATTCAAATATGTCAAGCACTATCGAAACAGCAACTGCACAACCACATTCGAAGAATCAAGGTACAGAGTTCTCTACTTTTCACAATGAAAGCTCAGAAATGACCAATTAATGTTAGCAAGCTATGCACATCTCTCATCCTTTCTTCAATTGTCTTACAAAAGTAATAGACTAGTTTTTGAACTGTGACACTTAGTAATTACATCATCATCGTCAAAGCCTTTTCCCAACTAATTGGGGTCAGCTGAAAGACTAGTAATTGCATAATACATATACTAAATGAACCAAGGTTGAAAGGCTAGTTATATCTTGTATTTTTCGCACTTCGTATGCAATAAAAGCTACCCAACCCAAAAAGACGTACCATCTGACATAAATCTTTCATTGTTCTACATCTCTTTTCGCCAGAAATCCTTCCAAATTAAGAAAATAACCATATCAGACACAATACAGTGACTCTTGATTTTGATTCTAGTTAGTACTCATGTGCTTTTAGGAAAATCTCATGGTTATAGCCCTTTGAATGTTCTGTATTCTAGTAACAAGCAATGTACTGATGGAGTATCGCCCCCATAAATATGTATCCTTTTATTATTTAACTTTGTTCTTACACAACAAAAGAGAAATGAAATACTAAATACAATACAAACTCTAGATCAAGAATTAAAGTAGGTAAGGAAGCAGAGAAAATAGACGAATACTTTACAAAAAGAGAAAATGAACAAAAAACAAAAAGACACGATGTGATAAAAACATATTCTGGGAAAATCCAAAGGCATGTTTACAATTTGAAAACCTCTTTCCTTTGGTTGTGCCAACTTTTTGTTATTTTGAGCATGGTTGTAACCTAAAACATGAAGGTTGAGGTGAGTTCAAATTACAAAACTATTTTCCCCATTTCAAGTAAATTTTAAAGGCCAGGCTGGAGGTAAAGATAACTGCGCATTTTTTTCTGGCTATTCTTTGCCTCGTCCCATGGAGGGGGGATGAGCTTGAAGGTTCCTAAGCTTTCAAGTGGAATACTACCAGTTCCCCCTTCAGATTGGCATCTTTCAAGTAGCCATTATCTACATCAAGATTCCCACGGGCAATCTCCAATGTCAAGACTTACAGGTCCCTATTTAGTGACTTTTTTGCAAAGCATAATTACCGGGATGGGGAGCGAGGTAAGATTCCGGAACGAGATCGGGATCGGGACTGCAGGATCAAGAGAAGTACAAAGATCCGTGGTATAGGGTTCGAAATCGGTACACTGTGAGTAAAAGGGATCATGATCCCATTATGAAGGGAGTAGGATCAAAATTTGTCCAGGATCGAATGATTAAGTATATGGGATTGAAGTCTCCAGCTTAGAATCGAGGCTCCTGAAGAGCACTTAAGTAGGGTACTCTAGCTCGAGAATGGAAACCATTGAATGATAGTCCTAATGTTTTTTCTGAATTCAAAAACCAAAGAATCATTAAATGCAAAAAGTTTCGTTTTAAATTATTTTTTAATTTTTTGTTATTATTGGAGAGTGATTCACAAGTGAGAAGTGAAAATTGAAACCCCAAAGAAGGATTCAAATTTCGATCTTCAGGCATAAAAGAAGCTCTATTGTTTGATGAAAATATAGTGTCCTTGTTTTTCTTGAGACTTTTACTTAAATGTGGTTGGGCATGCACCTAGTCAAATAGACTCTAAATTCAGAGGAAAAAATGGTCAACTGGCCAGTACAGTCCAAGAGAGGGCATTAGAGACAAAGATCAATTGTATAAAACTTATAGAGCTTCCAATAAGTGCAATAAAAAGGATTTAGGGTATGACATGGTGAAGCTTTAGCTTTGCAGCTGCTCTCAGTCAGAACGTAATATAGCAGCAGCTTGCATGTTATGGTGTTTATTTTCATGACTTACAAGTTCAAAGTACTACAAGTTTCAAACCATAGTTACTGTTGCAGGCATTGGAACTGTTTCTCAACTGGTTTATCTCTATACCAAAAGCCAATTCAAATTTCAAAAATTTTAGAGAAATATGGTCTTGCACATAGAGAGAGAGAGAGAGAGAGAGAGAGAGAGAGAGAGAGAGAGAGAGAGAGAGAGAGAGAGAGTAGTAGTAGTAGT